AAAAAGCAAATTTGATATCAGACTTATTCTAAATAATGGATAGAACCTAATGTACCCAAGAGCATCATGATTTCTCAGAATTTTAAATGGACATTAGACATGATATAACAGTTTTTCAAACGGCCATTGTTAGAGAATTAATTCCTATGCCGTATTATGTAGAAATGTTTAGAGGAAAAATGAAAAATTGGGGGCGGGGGACCTCTGTGTGCTTTCCCAATAATATAAGAATATTAAAATGGAATTACTAATATTGATACAACACTAATGTTTTTGTTCTCCATTCTGAAATAATGCTAAGCCAATTAGCTGTTACACTTGATGTATTCAATTTACATAGCGTAATTCCACAGTAGGACAGGTTCAAGGCAGCTGAAGGATATCACATGTCAAGAGACTGGAGTACATAATTATGGAGAAATTTGAAAATATGAAGGACTGCAAATCTTTTAAAGTATTCTGCTATCATACCACTAAAAGGGGTACAGATAAGCTACTTAAAAATAAATGCTTACAGATATTGTAAATGATTGTCAGGCTGCATAAGACAGTAGAACCAAGGAAACCAGGCTTTGAACTATCACGTTAGCAATGGACAATCCTGAATAGGATTTGCACCTCACATGATGTCTGCTGGGACTCTGTATAAATGGGGCATAGTATCCTCCCCTCTATGTGACTGCAGGGTCCCACATCAAATCATATCTTGATCGCTGTAAACTGACAGCATATATATATATCATCAGCTAGCCATACCTTTACTCAGATTTGAACTTGGGCTTCCTGCATGTTAGGCAGTTGAATTAACCTCTGAGCCACAAGTTTTCCTCCCTTCATCAGCTTGAGCCAGGGGAAAGATTAAGTGTTTTTCTATCGAGACACCTGGTCTATCCCAACATGTGGGAGGGGGCATTCTGCTCCCTTTCCCCTTTCAGCTCCAATCCAGGAGCCCTCAAGCAGTCGCATTCACAACAAACCATTTTATCCCAAATTTATATTTTGCTGATAAAGAAATAAAGGGAGACTAGTATAGATCTGTTTCAAGCTATTTAGCTCTCATCAGCTAGCCATACCCTTACTCGGATTCGAACTTGGGCTTCCTGTGTGTGTATGTATACACACACACACACACACACATGATTTTTAAAATATATAAATGATGCTGTGCTTCAATGGTTAGATGCCTAGGTATTGGTATTTGAACATAGATATTTTTAACATTTATATTTTATTGTGTTTTACTAATCTAGGTGAAATGTTAATATATGCTAATCCATGTATGATACACCATACACTAAATAAATAAGAGCCTGGAGGTGCAGTGGACTAAACTACTGTTTAAGTAGTATTTAGCTGCCAGCTGCCTGCAATTACTGCGAGTTCAATTCTCACCAGGCTCAAGGTTGACTCAGCCTTCCATCCTTCTGAGGTAGGTAAAATGAGGACCCGGTTTGTGGGGGTAATAAGCTGACTTTGTATAAAATAGAACACCGCTTAGGGGGGGCCAAAAGCCCTACTAAGTAGGTATATACAAAAGTATGAAGCATTGCTTAAAAGCATTGTAAGCTGCCCTGAGTCTCCAGAGAAGGGTGGCATATAAATCAAACTAATAAATAAATAAATAATAAATAAATAATCAAGGAAACATTGCATTCAATGTCTATATTAAATTGTGCTCATATGCCAATCAATGCATTGAGATAGTGTCAGCCCTGGAGGCCATCTTTTCTTTTGGATCTTCAGGGATGCCACACTTAGTGCTGTGAGAAACTGGGAGGGGGGTTGTATGGTAGAGGTATTTAGCCATAACAACATTCTTTTCTCTGAGAGTCAAGGATGTTCAGCCTGCACCTGGAGATTTGTGACTGGGAGGCATCTCCAGTTGGGATGGTGGATTGATTGGATCATGTGATGAATGTCAAGTTTCGAGGTCTCCTCAAACCGGGCTTGTAGTAGTTGTAAGAACCCATCTGCGTCTTGCAGTTGGGGAGCCCTGTTCTTGTAGAGGGCTGCTGACCACCTCCTTGCTTCTCCCTCCAACCCTTCTGAAATGGCACTTACTAGGACTCTGGGAAATGGGTAGAGGTATCCATAGCGCTCGATGTAGATCTCAGCTGTGTCGAGGAATTGCGCTAGCTGGTCTGGATCACCATCGAACTTCCCTCTGAAATGAGGTGGGTCCTCCCTTTCTGCATTAGGTTCCTGAGCTCGTCCTCCACACAGGGGTCCTCCTCTGCCTCCTCGAACCGACCCAGGATTTCCTGTTTACCATACAGGTAAATGAAACTTGAAGTGCTGACAATGAACATATGGGTGCAGGGGAAGGGACTTTGACTTTCCTTTGGGTGGGGAAAACCTGGGAGCTTTCAGATTTGAGTTTTCCCAGATATGCCAATATGACATCTCTAATAAAATGAACTTTGAGGAATTGCCTGCCTTGGAGTCTTCTTTGGTGGGGGGTGTTATTTGGAACCCTGACAGATAGTTTTTATTTTTTCACTCTTCAATCTATTTAGCTGCTCTGAAGATACATGGGATGTTTAAGAGCCCTTCCTTCTTGGATTGCAGTTAGCACAATTTGCCTTCTGGACATCAGAAATTAGCCAAAAACAAACCAGCTCTCATTCAAGAGTTGGGGAAGGTTGCCTTCATATATTAAGAATTCCTCTGAGTAGGTGAGAATTCAGCAGACACATTAGGGATTCTACCTCCTTAGAAATGGCATAAATGCTCTCTGCATTGTTATTGGAGAATTACAGGCATTAACATTGGCACAGAAGGCTTTGTATAGGGACTTGGGACTTTCAGCCTCCATGACAACAATAGAGTTGCGTCAGTAGGGTTGACAAGCCAGTATATTTTGGAGAACTTGTATTTAAGCTCCTAAAGGTCCAAACTTGGAGACATTTGATTTTATGGCATCTGCCATGTTATTACACTCATTTGCAATCAAAAACAACCTCTGCTTCTCACTTTTTGTAGTACTGTCTGACTAAGCAAGATTATAGATATGGGTTGCACGGCAAATTATTTCGAAGAAGGTCAAGATGCCCTCAAATCAAGCTTGACATCTGTTGATTGAATCTTTCTCTTGGCAGTGTTAGAGATGTTTGCTATTGTCTTTTCCCAGATTGTTTCTTCTCCTTTCCCAATCTGGCGGACACCCTGGAATTTCCAGGCAGTCCTAAACAAGGCTCTCCCTACTGAGTTACCAACATTGCCAAGGTCAGTTGGGTGTTGACACTTGCCAATACAGCATTAAAAAAAATTAATATTGCTGATATTGTCCGCAGTTATCACAGGAAATACACCATAACTTCATTCTTGGACTCATATGCGTGTTTATTAAAAAATACTATAGAGTGGACTCATATCCATGTTTTATTCACAAATAATTCTTGTTGCTTAGCTCTAGGAAAACTGGCATAAGAAAATGGTGGTTCTCAACCTTTTCACCAGAACAACTAGACACAAGAACAGTCCCCCCCCCCTCCGCCATCATTCTGCTAAACAAATAATTCCCTCAACACTGTCAAACTAGTTACTAAGTTTGCATTACTATTAATCTTCTCACCGTTCCCATCACCCATCTCCTCCCACTTATGACTGTATAACTGTAAACTTGTTGCTGGTATCCTTAAGACTTATATTGACTGTTTCCCTATGACTATCATTAAGTGTTGTACCTTATGATTCTTGACGAATGTATCTTTTTTTTATGTATTCCGAGAGCGTATGCACCAAGACAAATTCCATGTGTGTCCAATCACACTTGGCCAATAAAGAATTCTATTCTGTTCTATCCTATTCACTATGGATCCCCTTTAAATATCTTTTGTGGCCACGAATCATGGCCACGGACCTCCAAGACTTAACTCAAGATTTAAATCATAGCATTTCTTCAAGCTTTTGCAGACCCCATGTGACGACATTAGGTTGAGAATCACGGCTAGAAAAACAAAAAAGCATTTTCCAGAAAGTTGATTGGGGGTGTGTGGGGGGGGCTCAGCTTGAAAGCCACAGAGAAATCAGAATATGTAAATAAGTTGATTTCAGATCCATTCAGGAAGCTCTATTACCCACTCATTACTACACAAGATTCTAACAGCCTTCTGCTGTGATGGCACAGAGCCTCAGTATCACTGCAAGAAGCATGGAGGTGAAAAGAGCCACTTTCTATGTCAATTCTTGCCTATTTCTAGAGTCTGGAGAACCCCTGAGAAAGCCAAGCTGACAAAAAGTGCTGAATGTGAATCATGCCACTTGGATGGTTCAAAATAAGGATCAGATCTAACATGATTCCCAAACGAAAATTATAATCACGAAAGGAGGAAGGCAAGCCCGCTCCAAACGTCTCCTCCTACCCCCGCTTGGTCAGAATCCATGATATTTTTCCCCCCAAGCCAAGTCTTCATCCCATCTCCATTAAAGCTTCTTCAATCGATTAGCCTTCATCTTGCCTCATGATCCGCCAGCCCTGAAATCCACTGGCAGGAAATCGTTCGGAAAGTGGAGCTTTGAGATCCACTCCAAGCGGACCGAAAAGGCCGCTGCCGGTTGCAAAACCGACAGGAGCGGGCACCGGAGGCCTCGTGGGAAATTTGATCCCATGACCCAGAGGGCTCGGACTGACATTTTGCCCTCCCGAGGGAGGGGGGGGGGAATTCCTAGGAGGGTCTTGCTGTGAGAGATAAGCGAGGAAACAAACAAACAAACGTCCAGAGGTAACAGTTCAAACGGCTGCGTGAGGCAGGCGAGCGGGTCAAGCAAGCGGGCCCGTCCCCGCGTGTCAGGGTTTCTCGGGATGCCGTTGTAGCGTGGAGAGCGGGAGAGCCCGCAAAGTTGCGCGGGTTTGAAAGCGGGAGATCAATGGTAGTGACTTAGAGCAGAAGGTCAGCCTGCGCTTTCTTTCAGAGGATGGGTGGGAGGGAGTTGTGGAGTAGCAGGAGGAGGAGGAGGAGGAGGAGGAGGGTCGGAGAGGTGGGAGGCGTGAGCATCCTTCTCCTTTTCTTTAGAGCACGCTGCTTTTAGGGAAAAGGAGGCGAATGCTTCCCTAACTAATTGTCATCCTTTCGGGCAACAAAGGCAGCCCTCCGAGGTAAGATTTCTCTCCTTCCTCTTCCCCCTTAGGAAAATTCCGATTCCCCCCCCCTCCCACACACACACACTTTGCAAATCCTAAGGAAGCGAAGGAGAAGCTAGAGCCACAAAGGTGAAAGAAATCAGAATATCCAGGAAACAGTGGGAACTGGAGTTCGTCTCCTCTGAACGGAGACATGAGCACCATCCATCCTGGACCAGCAAGAAAAGAATCTAGATTAGTGGGGGGGGGGGGGGAAGAAAAAAAAAAAGAGTAGATGTTATCATCTCCAATAAGTTCCCAGCAGAAAATATCATCACCACCCAATGATTTGGCACTTCCAGAAGAAAAACGAATTAGCCCCATGGCTGTGGGGCTGACCTTCGTTTGGAAGGGAGTTGGCTGGCTCCCCTTAACTTTGTCATACTGAAGTGTAAACTTAGGGACCCATCCCCCACCCCCCACCCCGTTTGTTGTTGTTTTTTCCAGCAACCTTTGGCAGCTATCACTATTCGAACATTTCTTGATGGAAAGCTTGAGCATCCATTAAGGGATTTGGGTAAAGTGAACGGAGAAGGGTCTACAAGTAGAATGAATCATGCAATGGTCTTTGTTTCTTTTGGAACAAAGTTGTGAGCAGAATTCGTATTATTTTGCTCGGAAGAGTTTTTACTCCAAAACCAAACCTTGAAAAAGATGGAAACTTCCATTGGGTAGGGGAGGCATTTTCAAATTTCCAGGGGTAATTCGGCAAGTCAAGTGGTAGAAGGCAGTTGTGGTTCAGCAGGCAAGGTTTTTTTTTAGCGTTTAGGGTTTCAGAAGCTTTGTGGACCTTTTAGGTCCTGAGACCTTGTCTTTTTCTTTTTTTTTACAGGAGAAAAACATCTAAAGCAACTGCTGTTATTTAATGCATGCATATAATTTGTGTCAGAGTGTGTATTGGTTTTATTTCATTATGAATCTTTTCCAGTCGTGTGTGAGCATCCTTAAAGAAATATAGGAGTGCTTCCTTTCACTTGCTTTTTTTTCTTCTCCTTGCAAGTTTTTTCTTACATTAGTTATGGCAGGGCTAAGGTCATTGCCTCATTTTATGAAACCAGTGAGAGTTTTGAATTCATTCTGTTTAAGAACAAGTCATAAAACCAAGATAAAATATTGGCTTCCTCCTTATTCAACATTAATGTGTCCTACTTTATCATATTTTGCTTATTTTGTAAGTATAGGTAACTCAAAGACATTTTATTTTCCTGCTTCAAATTATTTTTCCATGGAAGTGTGTGCGTGTGTGTGTAATTTTACATAGAGTGAAAATAAATGACGGAAGGAGTGCCAGTTAATCTGCATTTGGGTTTTCTTTGTATTATTAATTTGAACACTAAGATAACCTACCCATCTCCCTCTATTAAAAATAACCTTGCCTGCTACTTTATTGTAAGGCTAACGTTATTCCCAAGAAAGCTTTGATAACTATTTCATTATTGCAGATAATACTCTAATCCTAAATTCTGGTGCAAGAATCTTCATAAGAGTTCCATGTTGTATTCTTATCATTTATTACATTTGTGACATCAATCCTATGTAATGTTTCTACATACCAGATGAACTTCATAGCAAGGCTCTGGAGAAGCTAAGTCATTAGTTGTTAGTGTGGCTATAGTGAGAGGTATTTGCAAGCTGAAATAAAAAATCGTGTCACTTCAGCCTGACTCTGATACTCTGTTGGTCATGCTCTTTGAATTTAGGCCTGAAAATTGTTTTAATCTCAACTGCAGTCTTGCCACAAGCCTGGCTTGTACAACAGCCTTTTATGCAACTAGTACTTTGAAAGAAGATGGGCACAATTTGTTCTTGCTGTGTTCTTTTTCTTGTGCAATTCTGTTTGGAATTTACTGAGAACCTTCTTTGGAGGCAGGAGCAGGGATGATAGTCTGTCTTTTCTCTGTATGTAAATGATTCTGCCTCCCTAGTTTACATAGTAGAGTACCAATTCTGAAATACCAATTATTGTGAGAATTTGTGATATAACTTTGCTTTTTTTAAATATAGGGGCCTATCCAGTAGGGGAAAACATAAGAATGATATATATTCAAAATCATCATAAATACTGCTGAAGTTATAAAAACACATAGCAGCACCATTTTGCTTGCCATACTTCAGTTCTTAAAAGCTCTGGGGGATGGAAAACTCTTCCTCTGATGGCAAAAAGCACTCAGAGAGAGCTATACATCTCTCTTGCTTCATAATAAAAAATGCAAATGCAAGTAGATTAAAAGAGCCTGGTGGCGCAGCAGACTAATAGCCTGTTATTAACATTCAGCTGCCTGCAATTACTGCAAGTTCGAATCTCCCCAGGCTCAAGGTTGACTCAGCCTTCCATCCTTTCTAAGGTAGGTAAAATGAGGACCTGGATTGTGGGGGCAATAAGCTGACTTTGTATTAATATACAAAAGTATGAAGGCTATTGCTTAACGCATTGTAAACCGCCCTGAGTCTCCGGAGAAGGGTGGCATATAAATCAAATAAAAAAAAAAATAGGTACCACTTCAGTGGGAAAGTAATAGTGTGCCTTTGGTGTGTAGGCATGCTGGCCAAATGACCACAGAAATTATCTTTGGACAATCCTGGCTCCCTTGGCCAAGAAATGTAGATGAGCCCAGCGCCCTAGAGTGAGACATGACTGACAGGGAAACATGTACCTTTAAAGATGTCACCATAGAAAGGGTCCTCCAGAGCTAATTTCATTTTACTTCTGTTAAACGGGAAGCATGAAACAAGGATGCATATTTAAGAACTTCTTGAAATGTTCAGAGTCCAGAATAACTAGTAAATAAGACTTATCAGCCTTAAAATATGCTTTCCAGAAGGTTAGCTGATAAACAGTTAAACTGATATTCACTTGGCAACCCATCTTAAACTGGATCCTCCCTACTAGCAAGGAACATTATATGGGATTTAAAGTCAACAATAATTGTTTTATTATGGTGCCCTTAATCTGGGTTGTGATGTCAAAAAAATAAATACATTTATTTATTACTTTTACCAGGATGTTGTCCAATATAATCCCCTTTGAATGAAAGGAGGGGAACAAAAACATGAAAAATCTTTAAAAACATGAAAAATCTTCAAAACATGAAAAATCTTTAATTCAGTGGTGCTTGAAAGGTTATCAGTAACCTTTTTTTAAATTTTATTTTATTTTTTTTATTTTTTATTTTTTTTTAATTTGATTTATATGCCGCCCTTCTCCGGAGACTCAGGGCGGCTTACAGTGCGTTAAGCAACTGTATAACCTATAACTCTAGCTCTATAGCTAGAGTTAAATTATACTATAACTCTAGTATAACCTATAACTCTATAACCTTTATAGTGAACCTTGGTCTTCCTTTTTTATTAGTCTTTAGTCTTCTTTCTTTTAGTTCCGTGGTTAGCTCTTCTGCAGTCTCATTAATTTAAATTATATAGAAAACATGATTTTTGAATATATAGTTTGAATCCAAACTATATATACTGGTATCTATATCTATTTTCACTGGTAAATTTTCAGTTACTGTCTTGAGCGTCTTAATGTTTGAGCTCTTCTATGAAATTTCAAATTCCTAATGTAAAATAAAAAGCATCCAAATATAATATGAAATTCCAATCAAAACACATATCACTGTAAAACAAAATATGCTAAATCACAATTCTAATCACAGGTAAAACTACTGTATATAGTGAGTAAATATATTGTGGTCTCGAACTACATCTATGCTTGGCATTTTGCAAGATCCTCTTGAAACCAAAAAAAACCCAACTTCAGATAAAGAAACTGGTAAATTTGTAAAGACAGCGCTGTTATTGTAGTAGGCAAAAGATTTGGAAGCAAAGTCATTGCTTTACTGATATGTTTTGTCTTCAAGGCGCCTTAACTTCTTTATGTTGCTTTTGCTCCAGTAGATTAAAGGGGTCACTTTTCAAGAATTTACACCTTTGAAAAGTGAGACTTTAAAATGCTTTCTAAGCAGCAGTGCTAGTGACTCAAAATGCCCGAGGAGCTAAACCAAAGAGACAAAGGATTGTCCTAGCTGTGAGAAAGGAACTAACAATTTAGTGCCGTTATATAGCCTTCATTCTTGCAGGTAAAATGTGTATAGCTAGAATGGACAATTGTCTTCAAGAGATTAATTGTCTAGTAGTGCATTAGTGACAGAAATAAATATCATTTTCGAATTTGTCCTCTTTCTGTTTGGAATGAGCCCAAGTGATGCACATGCATTGAACAGGTTCAACCTTCACTCTTTCTGCTGAAAAGGAGTTCAGATTCAAGGATGAGAAAGACCTGCACTTCAGCTCTTGGAGCTGTTAATGAACATGATAGTTCTTGGCCTCTATGAATCAACAAATGTTGCAAGGCCGTGACCTTGATCTTTTCCTTAGGAACAAAGGAATTGAGATTTTATTTTAACCCCTTTGAGAACTTTTGTTTCATAAACTGAGCCTCCTGTTCTCCAGACCACATTTATGAGCTGTAAACCAATAGGTTATATTCTGTATTCCTTCAAACATTGTTAGCTTCTGTTTTCTATCCCTTGGCTTCTATGCTCTGCCTCCTTGCAATGGCTGGGCTCACATGTAAATCTTAACTGTGGTTAGTGTAGGTAGCCAACATGAACAAATGAATGTTATGCTAAGTCACAAATCATCAGTAACAAACCAGTCTAGCTGAGCATTCACATCTCTTTAAGTCAAGTATGGTTGAATCAAATGAAATATGATTCCGAATTCTGATGGATTCATTAGATGCCTCCAAAGAAGCTGATCTGAAAGCAACCTCAATGGCCACTGCACCCCTAAAACCTCATGGATCTATTTTTCTTTCTCTGCCTTGCCTTCTCCTTTAGCTCAGCCTAGCAGAGGACGGATCAAGGTGGCCATGAAATGCCACTTACTCACTGCCATCCCAAGAAAAGGCAGCATTAAATGATGCTCTGGGCCTCAGCTGAGGGATAACAACATGGTCTCTGCACTTAAAAGTACTC